TATAAATAATTTTTTGGTGCCACAAAAGAAATAGCACTCGAACATACATTTAATTTTCTCAGCAAGGCAATTTTACTTCTATAGAAGGGTGTGACTCACGATGGAGCAATGAATGGCAAGAGCACACCTGAACAAGGGAGGGGAAGGGTTTTTTATTCATGATGTAGGTAGCCCCTACTGCCGTGTCCCCTATTGGCTAGGGTTGGACCACACAGTCTAAGCTAATTCTGAATGGCTGTTTTAAAGAGAGCAGGGGTATGAACTGGAGTGGTGGGGTGAATAGTTTGGCAGGAAGGGCAGTTACAGAACAGGTGACTCAGGATGACTCAGGACAGAGCAGGTGACCAGGGGTGACTCAGGACAGAGCAGGTGACCAGGGGAACAGATATGAACTACTGATTAGAACTGGTGGAAAATGTTGTTTATTGAAACTAGGGGCAAGGAGAACGAGGAAGTTAAACTTTAAAATGGAGAACAAAGAACTGAACATACTGACATAATGATTCTTTGAAGAGAAATTTAGAATTCATTATATTCAACAACTCCATCCTCTTGAGTTTTACAGTTCTTTCTCTTCAAACTTCCCTAACATGTCTTGTCTTAGTTGTTCTGCTTGATTCTCTAAAAGAAGAAGCTTCTCTGAATAAGGTCGAGGAGAGTTAAGGGAGGTTTTAGTAAGTGCTATCTCTATGAGTCTCTGCACCAGCCCACGGATGCATGGTACGACACAACACCCAACAAGAATGAGTACACCTATTACAGCTGCAAGAGGAGTAAGAATTGAGGCTATGATTTCTTTCCATTTAGTGAACCACCTTTCTAGCCACCCTGAGAAAGTGTTATTTACTTCTGAGTTTTTGGCTAATTCATTGGACAGAAAGGTTAGACTTTGCAATGCCTTGGTTATACTTCCATCAGGGGTGGTATTGTTTGGGATGAAGGTACAATACTGAGTTTTAATCATGATGCAAATTCCTACTCTTTCTGCTAATATCATGGCTAAGGTTATTCTATTTTCCCAAACCATCTGGCTAGTAGCCCCTAATTGCTCAGCTATTCCTTTAACAGCATCTCTAGTGTAGTTAATAAACCGCTGTTGGTTGTAATAAGTGTAATTTATCCAATCTACATTCTTATTGTCACCCACCAAAATATTGACTCAAATCCTGCAGATATTTGATCTTGGGCTTTAAATTTATCTAGTGTTCCTCATGGGACTCTAGTTGCATCTAAATAAACATGAGGGTTGAAAGACCCTTAAAGGGCTTCCCTTGTTTTACGATGTTGTATTTTCCCTCTCTCTGGTTGATGAAATGCCAAGGTGAAAGGGATAGCCAGTTGGACTAGAGCACAAGTGCTGCTCCAGTTACTTGGCAGAGTGTCCAGTAAAGGCCCACCACAATACTGCCACACATCTGCTCGGGGATGAACAAGGGCTGACTGGTAAGCTCCTGAAAAGTCTTAAGCTCAGTGCATCCTTTCAGGTCTCCAAGGAATGCTAAGTTCCCTCCTTGTCATGAGAGACACGAAATGAACTTAGTGTCAGGAGATGGAGGTTGGATGGCCCTCGTGGGCTGACCCACAGGGTGTCAAACTTTGGGATATAGCAGAGAGACAGCTTGGCATTACTTGTTACCCCAGGCGGTGGGATCCTGGAAAAGAGCTACTGTCCAGCCCATGCGTGGTTGACTGGAGGACCATCCTAGTGGAAAGGGGACAATCTGGGCCCCTGGCCTGCCGTGAGCACAGGCGTAACAATTGCTTTGTTTAGCGTGCGAACAGAATATTGGATCCATTCCAACCAGGCATTTGCATCTCAATATCCTGTCTCTATTGCTAAAGTTTATTTTAAATCATTTACTTTTCCAACGTCTACTTTGGTCCTATCACTGCGTATATAACGAGAGAAGGTTTGGTTAGTGGAGAACTTAGGGGAGGGAGAAGGCGGTGCAGGAGGTGAGGAGGCAATGAAGCACATTTCTAAGGATCTTATGGGATCCTTCTCTGAGATTTCTGTTCCTATAGCATAGAAACAGCTTAATGAAGGGGAAGACCTCTGGGGAGAAAAGATGGTAACCTGTACTGGATTACACTGGTTCAGCTGACAATGGGGAGGGTTAACTCCTTTAGTAAAACAAATATATGGTTTCAAGAAGCTGCAAGTACTAGTTGGGGCGGTCCATCCTTGCTCTTTAGTATTTTGTAGAGCATTGGACCAACTTCGTCAGAGAAGTTCTGCTCTAGGAGGACAAGATTCCCAGTTTATACTGGAATCTTCATCAAACTCTTCCCAAACTAACTTATCCCAGTTAACAGACTTCTAGTCTGAGGAGAGCTAGGAAGGATAAAAATACTTTTCTGAGGTGGTGAGTTGCCTCTGGTTTGGCAAATCTCCACAGGGTATCACAAGGCAAGCATCAAAAGTAATAGTTTGGGGTGAACTTGACCTAGTTACATTAATAACGAGAGGACTAGCAATAGAAGGGGAAAAGAAAGAGATGCAATATAAGAAGATCAAACCCGTTTTAGCTGTAGCTTGGTTGGAATTGGCCCTGGAATAGCTATCCATGATTTTGGAGGGGGTGTTGCTCTTTTGACCCAGCTGTGATGAGTCACTTATTCGAACTGTGATCTCGGTGGTTAGAAGCACTAGGTAGAGTCCTTCCCAAGCCAGTTTGAGTTTTCCTTCCATCCAACATTCGACGAGGTTGTGGTGAAGGGTGCAACTCGTGGGTGGAGCAATGGTGAGAGCCCACCTGAACAAGGGAGGAGAAAGGGGTTTTTATTCTGACACAGGTAGCCCCTACTGCTGTGTCATTCCCTTATTGGCTAGGGTTGGACGACACAGTGTAAGCTAATTCCGAGTGGCTGTTTTAAAGACAGCAGGGATACGAGCTGGAGTGGTGGGGTGAGTAGTTTGGTAGGAAGGGCGGTTACAGAACAGGTGACTCAGGATGACTCAGGTCAGAGCAGGTGACCAGGGTGACTCAGGACAGAACAGGAGAACAGAGCTGAACTACTGATTAGAACTGGTGGAAAAGGTTGTTTACTGAAACTAGGGGTGAGGAGAATGAGGAAGTTAAGCTTTAAAATGGAGAACAAAGAACTGAATATACTGACATACTGATTGTTTGAAGAGAAATTTAGAACTCATGGTATTCAACAAGACATCTCTCTCATGGAGTTAGATTTGTTCCTATGCATGAGAGCTGGTAGAGAAGTCCACACAAACTGTTCCTTTTGTGTCTATTGTGAAGCCTGGAGTCACCATCAGTCAGCCAGGCAGGCTGTTGGGGAGGAAGGATGGATGTGGTTGGGACCAAGTACAAACTGGAACCTGTGTCACCAATCCCACCTTGACGCCATGGGAATAATGGGCTGTAGGAAAAACACACAGCAGCACCCATACGTGTCCTGTACTTGGATAGGCTAGAGATGGCTTTGATGGCAGCTGCAGGAGCTGCAGGTCCATCAACTCGCAGATCAGCAACAGCGCACATCAGCTGCCTCATTCTGATGTCCTGCACTGCCCTTTGGAACCTAAGACATGTAATGCCATTTCACTTCTGCTCTTCAAATCTCAGCATAATGTCTTGTGATCAATGCTAACCTTGAACCAGCCAGGGAAAGAAATTCTGGGTAGGTAGTTCTAGCTTAGCTACAGGACACAGTGCAGAACCACCACACTTACCTTGTGTATACCTCTCACTGAAGATTAGAAATACCAGAGATTTGCTTTTCCAATTCACCTTGCAACTTGAACGTATGCCCTAGGATAAGCCAATCAGATGCTGGGATTTCAATCTGGAGCCACAAGGCAGCAGAGTGTGAATTCTAACCGTTCCTTCAGTGTAGTTCCCAGACAGCAGAGCATGGTGTACACAGCATGAATCAGAACCATGTAGCTGGTTTTGAATCCCGACTGTAGTTATTCCCTGGGCCTCTGTGACCTTGCACCAGTCTCCTAAGCTCTCTAGGCCTGTCTCTCCATCTTTAAAATGGGCATAAAATGTCCAACATATCATTATGTAGAATGTGAATTGCATAAAATGTATGAGGTTTGAAACTTGGTTGGGTTGTTGCAAAGTATTTTTTTCCTTGAGTCTCTAGGATTCCTGGTAATTCCTTGGGCCACTCCATAGCCTTTTCTCAATGTATTCAATTTTCAGTCATTACTCAGTTTGATTCTGTTAACTAATGAAGGTATAAAGGTTTCCCACTGGAAGTATAGGAAGCATTTCATAGGGTGGGGTCAGGGTGTGGGTTCTCTGTACTGTGTGACTGTGTTATTGGCAGGACTTTTTCGTCCTTAGGCTGGCTAGCTCCTTCCTGGTGTCACTGATGTGTTAACAGTTGAGGATTTGCCTATAATCCAAGCACTTTAGGAGGCCGAGGCGGAAGGATCCCTTGAGCTCAAGACCAGGCTGGGCAATGTAGTGAGACCTCAGCAATACTAAAATTCAAACAAATTAGCCGTGCATGGTGGTGCACACCTGTAGTCTCAGCTACTTGAAAGGCTAAGGTGGGAGGATCACTTGAGCTCAAGAAGTCGAGGCTGCAGGGACGCTGATGGTGGTGCCACTGCACTCCGGCCTGGGTAACAGAGATCCTATCTCAAAAACAAATGAACAAACAGTTGATCTTGCCCCTGCCTCTCCAAAAGGCAAAACAGTAATGCTTTCTGAGGTACCACCTCTAAGATGTTTGCTGTCAGCCTTTCTCTCTCCTCCTTTGATCATAAAGGCTCATTTGCTAGAGACTTGAGCATCGATCATCTTTCCAGATGGCCCAGTAGTTGCAGATGTAGGTTCACTTGGTGATGGGTACCAAAATCTTGTTTATGGGCTGCGTCTTTGGGCTTCACAGTGAGTGAATGTGTAGTCCATGACAATCCCAGGGTGAAATCTTCACCCAGGGTGGCTCTGAGCAGGAAATGGGAACCCACAGGGCAGTTCCTCTCATGAATCAGTAATTTTCTTAAAAATAAAGACATAGAAGACTGCAGAAAATAACAGCTTTATTACTGCAGATGTGAGAGCATTTACAAAATGCCAAGGAAAACCGTTCCCTGTTTTGAGCCTCTGGAGCCTGAACTTTCACCATGTACCAGGAAAGAATGCCCCTCTTTCGAACTTTCAAACAGTTGGGATTTTTTATCATCCCAGTTATTTTCTCAAGTTTGCCTCCATTGGGTCCTGTTCAGAGTTTCTTGGGCTGCTTGTACTAGTCACAGCTCCACTTCTTCTCAGGAAGAGGTGGGCACAAGACACATCTGAGCCCCTTAGTATTGGGATGGCAGCCAGGAAATGATCAAAGGGTAGCATTTAGGAAATCAGCAAACTAAAGCCTCACATCTAAGATGGACAAATCCATTCTCAACTCAAACAGCAGGTTGGGTAATGCTTTCATGAGAGATACTATTATGTTTTTGTGTACACAGCACACATTTTATTAGTCTACGAACAGATTCAGGAAAGACCTCCAGGCTTTTTCCCCAAATGATTGACATAGTGCAAAACAAAACAAAAAAGAGGAGGGGCACAAATGAATAGCTCACTTAGAAGCTGAATAGAATGGGAAGCCATTTCTTTTCATAAAATCTTTTAGTTTTTGGCCAGGTGTGGTGGCTCATGCCTGTAATCCCAGCACTTCGGGAGGCTGAGGTGGGTGGATCCCCTGAGGTCAGGAGTTTGAGACCAGCCTGACCAACAAGGTGAAACCTCATCTCCACTAAAAATAAATTAGCTGGGCGTGGTGGCAAGCTACTGTAGTCCCAGCTACTCAGGAGGCTGATACCGGAGAATTGCTTGAACCTGGGAGATGGAGGTTGCAGTGAGCTGATATTGTGCCACTGTACTCCACCCTGGGCAATGGAACAAGATTCCATCTCAAAAAAAAAAAAATTAATTTTTATATTAATTTGTATTATGCAGTCCAACATGTCATCTTTTCATAAAATCTTGGTAGAGGTGCACTCCAGGGATGATCTGGCCCTCAGTCAAGGGCTGACTTTTCCTGTAGCTATGCTGACCATAGCAGGTCACTAAAAGCTGATTGTTAATGGAGGAAACAGTGGCTGCTTGTATCCTAGGTCTTCTGATAGAAGCAGCAGTTTCACAGTCACCAAAGGTATTGTTCACAACACACCTCAGCAACACACGACCAAGATAGCATATGTTTTAGAACTTATCCATTGGAAGGACATATTTAATACAAACCAGAAATTCATCAAATTACTGGCCACTTAAAACATATAGAAGAGGACTGTCCCAATAGAAAGGGCTCACAATCTGAGCTGGCCTTTTACAACGGCAAATAGTATTACAGTAACATTGTAAACAAACAAACAAATATGAAAAAAAAAGTAGTATAATATGTAATTATTAAAGACCTCTCTTTTAGGTAAGATTTTCAGAAAACCCAGGGACAGATTTTATGTCACAGAATGGTCCATATCGTCCAAAAATATCTTTTGACTGGACAGTAAAATAGTATCTGTTGGAAGCTAAAAACTGAGATAAAGTACAGGCCATGGGGAGTGGTAAAGCTTTAATTTCTCCAATCTTCTTCCAAATCAATTTATTATTAGAGTTCTCATGACACAGGAAGAGGTGGTAGCTTTCTACAGGAGCGCACTTGGGATTGATTTTGGTTATATTCCAAGTCAGGGCAATGCCATTTGGTCTGAAAACCCGTTTCACTTTGAGCTCAGGCTTCTGGGGAGGAAGTGTGTCTCGGGTTTTGTCTACTAATTCAGGTAGTGGTGCTGGTGGTTCTGGGAGAGGTGGCAGGTGCTCAAAGGACTCAGGAACCTAAAAACACAATTATAAGAAAGTATAGCTTTTAAAGTGGTCAATTGCAGTTGTAGAAATATATACTTCCCATTCTTCAATCCATTTATCAAAATAATAAAAGGGTATTTCAATAATATGTGAGGCTGGATCCAGTCCTTTAAGCATAATCCTCTTTTGGATTTAAGATTTCTACACCCTGGAATGTCAATAATCCAGAATGGGTTAGGTTCTAGACATGTGGGATAAATATTCCATCTCATTTCCAAATTGCGTTCTCAAACACTGTACTAATTTACATGAAAAGTGTCAGCGTGGCTGGGTGCGTTGCCTCACCTGAGGTCAGGAGTTTGAGACCAGCCTGGCCAACATCGCAAAACCCGGTCTCTACTAAAAATACAAAAATTAGCTGGGTGTGGTGGTGCACGCCTGTAATCCCAGCTACTTGGGAGGCTGAGGCAGGGGACTCACTTGAACCCAGGAGGTAGATGTTGCAGTGAGCCATGATCACGCCACTGCACTATAGCCTGGGCGACAGGGCAAGATTCGGTATAGTCTGGGCAAGATGTGGTGTCAAAAAAAAAAAAAGTGTCAGTGTATGAGAACACCCTTTTCCTCCCATCCTCATCAACAATGGCTATTGCTTCTTTTCCAATTTGTTCAATTTAAAAAAAGTATTTGTTTTAACTTCTGTAGCTTCTGTAAAACTCAACTGAATGATTTTAACTGTATAAATAAGTAGATTAACAACAGCATATTAAATTGTTTTCTAAGCTGAAATGTGACCCAAATGTTTCTTCAAGAGTAAGATAGGTACTTCCCACTCAATTTGGAATAAATATCCCTTACAGAGCACTCTGAATCAGTACCTGGGCTGCATTTTGTGCCAATGGGGTTGTTTCTTTTGAGTTTGTAACAGCTTTCGAATGTGACTCCAGGGGGGATACTGGACTTTCTGTGAACAACACAAGGTTTAAGAAGTAAATTTTATCTGCAAGAATCAATTCCATAGCCTTTAAGATATAGTTTACATCTTTGGTGATAATTAAATGTGAATTAAAATTATAAAACTGAATTATGAAGATACACTTTTAGTTAAAGTTCAAGATACAGAGGTACCAAAAATAGAAAATTTTTAGGGTGACAAAAATTCCGCTTAAGGTAAACACTTTAGACACTGTGTAGCTGGGAACCAGATATGTTTACACATGAGACACAGACCTCTCTGATCAATGATCTTAGAGGCAAATTTTCTTGTTAGGCCAACAAAGATGTTCAAACACAGAGCCATTTATAATCTATACCCAAGTTTTAGGAATTCAAACTAAAAATCATGTGGGTTGGGATTAAAAAAATCTCAACTAATGAGGTCTGTGCTCATCTGGAAGGAATTACATATAAAATGTGGAGCGGGGAAAAGAAGAGGGGGAGGAGGAGAAACGAAAAGGAAAATAGATGGTGAGAATAAGAAAGGAGGCGAATAGGAAAAATGTGGGTGGGCGGGAGGGAAAGAAGGTACAAGTAGGTAAAAGAATGGATTGAAAACAACTGGGGAGGCTGGGCATAGAGGCTCATGCCTATCATCCCAGCACTTTAGGACACAGATGTCTTGAGGTCAGAAGTTCCAAATCAGCCTGGGCAACATGGTGAAATCTCATCTCTATTGAAAATACAAAATTAGCCGGGCATGGTGGTGCATGCCTGTAGTCCCAGCTACTCGGGAGGCTGACACAGAAGAATTGCTTAAACCTGGGAGGCAGAGGTTGAAGTGAGCTGAGATCAAGCCACTGCATTCTAGCCTGGGTGACAGAGGACAGAGCGAGACTGTCTCAAAAAAAAAAAAAAAAAAAAAAGTATTTCCAGTTCTAAATCACTGAGACTGTCTTCCACAATGGTGGAACTAATTTACATTCCCACCAACAGTGTAAACGCATTCCTGTTTCTCCATATCCTCACCAGCATCTGTTGTTTTTTGACTTTAATAATCGCCATTCTGACAGCACTGTGGTTTTGATCTGCATTTCTCTGACGATCAGTGATGTTGAGCTTTTTTTCATGTTTGTTGGCCAAATGTATGTCTTCTTTTGAGAAATGTCTGTTCGTGTCCTTGGCCCACTCTTTTTTTTTTTTGAGATGGAGTCTCACTCTGTCGCCCAGGCTGGAGTGCAGTGGCCGGATCTCAGCTCACTGCAAGCTCCGCCTCCCGGGTTTATGCCATTCTCCTGCCTCAGCCTCCCGAGTAGCTGGGACTACAGGCACCCGCAACCTCGCCAGGCTAGTTTTTTGTATTTTTTTTAGTAAAGACAGGGTTTCACCATGTTAGCCAGGATGGTCTCGATCTCCTGACCTCGTGATCCGCCCGTCTCGGCCTCCGAAAGTGCTGGGATTACAGGCTTGAGCCACCGCGCCCGGCCCTTTGCCCACTTTTTAATGGGGTTACTTTTCTTGTAAATTTGCTTAAGTTCCTTGTAGATTCTGGGTATTAGACCTTTGTCAGATAGACAGATTGCAAAAATTTTCTCCCATTCTATAGGTTGTCTGTCTGCTGATGACAGTTTCTTCTGCAGTACAGAGGCTCTTTAATTAGATCCCATTTGTCAGTATTTGCTTTTGTTGCAATTGCTTTTGACGATTTCATCATAAAATTGTCATTTGGCCTAGCAGTCTCATTACTGGGTATATACCCAAAGGAATATTAATCATTCTACTATAAAGATACATGCATGTATATGTTAATTGCAGCACTATTCACAATAGCAAAGACATGGAATCAACCCAAAAGCCCATCCATGATAGCCTAGATAAAGAAAATGTGGTACATATACACATAGAATACTATGCAGCCATAAAAAGAAATGAGATCCTGGCTGGGCGCGGTGGCTCAAGCCTGTAATCCCAGCACTTTGGGAGGCCGAAACGGGTGGATCACGAGGTCAGGAGATCGAGACCATCCTGGCGAACACCGTGAAACCCCGTCTCTACTAAAAAATACAAAAAAACTAGCCGGGCGAGGTGGCGGGCGCCTGTAGTTCCAGCTACTCGGGAGGCTGAGGCAGGAGAAGGGCGTAAACCTGGGAGGCGGAGCTTGCAGTGAGCTGAGATCCGGCCACTGCACTCCAGCCCGGCTACAGAGCGAGACTCCGTCTCAAAAAAAAAAAAAAAAAAAAAAGAAATGAGATCCTATTCTTTGCAGGGACATGGATGGAGCTAGAAGCCATTATCCTCAGCAAAGTAATCCAGGAACAGAAAACTAAACACCACATGTTCTCACTTGCAAGTGGAAGCTAAACAATGAGAACACATGGACATAGGGAGGGGAATAACACGCACTGGGCCTGTTGGGGGAGGGTGGGGGGTGGAGAGAACATCAGGAAAAATAGTTAATGCATGCCAGGCTTAACACATAGGTGACGGGTTGATAGGTGCAGCAAACTACCATGGCACACATTTACCTATGTAACAAATCTGCACGTCCTGTACATGTACACCAGAACATAAAGTTAAAACACACACACACACACACACACACACACACACAAAACTGGGGAGAGTAAATACAGGGATGGTTAAGAAAAGGGGGTTTATACTGGAAAGTATGAAAGCTGGGTAGCTAAAAATCCCAGAATTAAGCAGTAAAAACCATTTTAGATCCTTTATATCCTATGATATAACTACTACATTTTATGAATCCTCCAAATGATATTTACTTGTATTTTTCTTTTGACAAAGATGAACAAGATTCTGTACTGTTGTTTCAGAGTTAGTCCCTTGTTTACTGGTATTTTTACAAAAACCTTCCTAGAAGAATTGATGAGTTTATTATTTTAGAGAGTCTGTTCAGCTCTTTTGTACTAGCTTTAAGAGACAGATTTGTAAAATTATAATCTGTAGGTTAAGAACTAATACAAATAACCTTTAAATTTTTAGCCAACAGCTGAATATTTAAAATATCCTAGCAAATATAATTTCTTGTAAACAATATTCCTTCTTTCAAAGCAGTAAGTCAAGAGGCCCTTAGCAAATTAAAACAGACTGCAATAGAAGCTCAACTTTATGATAATAAGAGACAAGACAGGACTTTCATTCCAACCCAATTAATGTTTATTTCCTTTTTAAAGTACATCTCTTGTAATCACAGTTGAGACTTGTATTGTTCTCTAGTCTAACAATGCTTTTCAATGGAGTGTTTGGACCACTTATATTTATTATCAGTGTGGTCAGGTTTAAATTGATTCTTTTGCCTTTTGTTCTCTATTAGTCTTGTTTGTTCTTCCTCTGCTGTTTTTTTCTCTTATTTTTTATTTTTTTCTGGCTTCTTAGATTGGGTATTTTAAAAATTTCGTTTATCTCCACTACTGGTTTTTTAGCTTTACTTCTATGTAAAAGACAAAACTGTTGCTCTAGACATTACCATATATATCTCTAGCTTCAAACAACATGACACCACTCCACTTAAGAGCCTTATAACAGCATACTATCTTTTTCAATCCTGTGACTATCTTTTGCACTACTGTTTTCATCTACTGACTTCTATATACATTCTATAATAGTTTTATTCCTTTGTGTAGATCTGCTTTCTATCTGGTATCTTTTACTATCACTTGAAGAACTTCCTTTATTTCTGATAGCAAAGGTCAGCTGGCAATGCATTTTGTTGATGTGAAAAATTTTAATTTTGATTTATTCTTATTTTTGTAGAGATGGGGTTTCGTTATGTTGCCTAGGCTGGTCTCAAACTCCTGGCCTCAAGCCATCCTCCTGGCCTCAAGCCATCCTCCTGACCTCAAGCCATCCTCCTGACCTGACCTCCCAAAGTTGCTTTCATTTTTGAAAGATATTTTCTAGATAAAGAATTACAGGTTGATAGTTATTTTCCTCCAGCCTTTTAATGAAGTCATTCAATTGTCTTTTGGCTTGCGTTGTTCTAGCCTAGAAACCTGTGAATTCTCTGTTCTTTCACCCACATTGTATCTTCACTTTTCTCATCACTGGATTTCAGGAACTTGACTATGATATGTCTTGGTATGACTTCTTTTGCGTTTATCCTGGAGTTTATTAAACATCTTGGATATGTGGGTTTATACTTCTCATTAAATTTGAATGAGACCTTGTAAGTGATCCCCAGCCCCATGATTGTATTTCACTTCTTTTTCCTTAAATCTGTGAAAGACACTGTTGTCACTCTCCCTCTACATTTTCATGTTATACCCCAGTTTCTGTCTCTCCGTGCGTCCTCTCAGTAGCTATTGTTGTGGTTAGGGAAAAAAGTATGTACCACAGGAAGAAAAGAAATTTGTAAAAGTCCCCAACATGCCAGATGTCTTTCAGTGGGTTTATGAATAAACAAATTATGATGCATCCACACCACGGGCTACTCTTGCCAATAAAGAGGACCCCACTACTGATACACAACAATGTGGATGACCCTCAGAATTATGCTGAGTGGAAGAAGTCAATCTCAGAAGAACACATATTGCATTACCTAATTTATATAAATTTGTGAAATAACAGTTATAGTACAGAACAGATTCGTGTTTGCCAGGGATTGGGGCAGAAACAAGGTGTGAGTATAAAGGGGTAGCATGAAGGAGCCTTGTGGCTACAGGTTCTGTACTTTGACTGTGATGGCAGTTACATGAATCTGCACATGTGCTAAAACTGCATAGAGATATAAACATCTGCACACTAACATATTAAAACAAACTTCATAAGTAAACCCAGTGCATTGTGAGTTGTTACCCTTCCCTCCTTTTTACAAAAGAAAGATCTAAAAAATCATTTTACCTGTATTGCAGTTGGATAGGCCTTCTTTTGTCAAATCAATTATAAAATCAAGTTTCTTCTGTACAGCCTAAAAAAATTGTAAATAATAAAGCTTTGCCTCAATAGCTGAAAATGTTTTTAAAAACTTCAACATTTGGTAATTTTAAATGGTAATTTTAAATTACCATTCAGAAAAATTTGGTAATTTTAAGTGGTAATTTCAAACCATCCTGTGGTTTAACTCTACTATTAAAAAGTTCTTGTAAAATACTATATGGTTTCTGAGAATAAGACTAAGGAGAACGTAAATGAATTTGGTAAATGAGTATCGTTATGAATTATGCTTATCATTAGCTGTCTGCTTTTCAATGTGTAAGCTGGACTAAAACTAAATCATCCAACATGTAGCAAACACTAAAGTTCCTAGAACTAACATGTTTAAATGAACAATATTCAGAGTTAGTATTTCTTACTTACCGTAACTTCAGCATTAGGAGAACTGCTAGAATTTCCTGATGTAGTTTTTCTGGTATCTGAAAGAAATGAGACATTTGACAAATTGATTACACAATATTTATGGGCTTTGTGAAATATGAATGCTAAAACAAAATAATGGGGATGCTAATTAGCTGTTAATTATATAGTGATAAAAAGTAACTCAATTGACTTTACCTATTCCAAAGACTGAATGAATTTTTTTAAAAAAATGTAACTTTGGGTCAAGCCATTTTTTCTTTCTGTAACTTTGCAACTATATTAGTAACTCTTTTTTTGAAAATCCTTCTACCTAGAAATTTGCATGAGAAAATACAGTTGGAAATGCACGCACTTTTAATTCACAGTATCTTTAGACTACAACTGCCTGACATGGCTGAGAAGCGCCCTTCCTGGAACCAGTAGGAAGCCTAAGATAAATGATTAACATCCTTTGTAATTCTCTGATTCACAATCTTAACAGCCCAAACTGTGGGGACAAGTAAGTAGCTATAAGTGGAGGCAAAGCTTTAAAATTACGATGCAAATACTCTAACATAGTAGAAAATGAAATGAAAATGGGGAATTTTGGATAAGAAATTATGAGCCAAACAAGATGGCTATTTTTGACAGAGAGAAAATTTTTTTTTTGAGAAATGTTATCATTGGAAATGTAAGGTTAATTTTTTTTTTTTTGAGACAGAGTCTTGCTCTGTTGCCCAGGCTGAAGAGCAGTAGCATGATCTCAGCTCACTGCAGTCTCTGCCTCCCAGGTTCAAGCAATTCTCCTGCCTCAGCCTCCCGAATAACTGGGATTACAGGTACATGCCACCACGCCTGGCTAATTTTTGTATTTTTAATACAGATGGGGTTTCACTTTGTTGGCCAGGCTGGTCTTAAACTCCTCACCTAAGGTGATCTGTCTGCCTCGGCCTCCCAAAATGCTGGGATTACAGGCATGAGCCACCACACCCAGACTGACAAGAAAAACTTTAAATCTTAAGTTGACTATAAGATAACTTAATAAATAAAAAATAAAAACACAAAAAACAAACCATTACTACCATCAACAAAAGGCCAGGGCAAACGATTAAAAATAAGTAGTTTGACAACTTATAAAGTCATTAAACATATAAAAGAAACAAAAAGGCCATAAACTGATAAAACAGAAGGTTAAAATGAAATCTCAATTACATTAAGGAATCATTCATTTAGGTAATATTAACCATGATATAAGTTAGAACATTTGAGAGTACATTTAAATTTTTCATTTTATTAAAAGATATTATTCAATTTTTCACTTTTAAGCAAACATTGATTTAAGGCCTTCTAACTTGATAGATCATATTCTAATCAGCTATAAGATACCTGTTGGATTTGATGTAATTGGAGTTGTCAAATTAGGCCTTTCCACAGAAATCAACATAACATCATCATTGTTACTAAAATGATAAAAAGAAATTAAAAACAAAAACCAAACATGCATTATCAGGCTTAAACATGCAATTAGTGGTTAGGAGTCCTCTAACTTAACATTTCATAATGTTTTAATTGAACAATCGTGGGGGCAAATAGAAATGATAAAACCAAATACCCAAAAAAACTCCATTTATTACCAATTCAGTTATATGACCAAAGGTTCATCAAAATCCAGTAATTAGATCCCTACCACGTTTTATGGGTCCTTCACAATGACTCAAAATACATATAAATATACAATGGACATAAATGTATAAAACATGCAAATTCATTTGAGCATATATACTTGCTTCTATAAAAATGAAACATCATTTAATAATGGAAATCTATTAAGACCCATAAAGACACCTGGACTCCTAAAGGTAGAAAACTATAACAAAGAAAATTATTTTAAAAAGAACTGCTCCTGTATCTCTCCAGTAGCAATATTGACCACAAATTTAATTGAGGCAATGATGATAAATGATGCTGATTATGGTTATAGAATATTTCAAGCCATTTTGACCCTGTTCTTTTATGAGTGACTTTTTTGTTTTTTTGAGATGGAGTTTTGCTGTTGTCCCCCAGACTGAAGCGCAATGGCGCAATCTTGGGCTCACTGAAACCTCTGCCTCCTGGGTTCAAGTGACTCTCCTGCCTCAGCCTCTTGAGTAGCTGGGATTATAGGCATATGCCACCACGCCTGGCTTTTATATTTTTAGTAGAGACAGAGTTTCACCATGTTGGTCAGGCTGCTCTTGAACTCCTGACCTCAGGTGATCCGCCCACCTTGGCCTCTCAGAGTGGTTGGGATTACAGGCGTGAGTCACCGTGCCCAGTCCAATTATACCATTTTCTTGCAGACATCTTATATTTTTACTGTTTGTATTTAGGTGTATGATCCATTTTGAGTTAATTTTTGTTTATGGTATGAAGTAAGAGCTGAGGTTCACTTTTCCCTCTATTTCAGCAACATTTGTTGAAAAGAACATATTTTCCTGTTAAACTACATTGGTACCTTTGTCGTAAACCAATGAACTGCATGTGCACTCTCTAGTGTGCCCATTGGTCAACATGCCTATCTCTATGCCAACAACACTGTCTTAATACTACAGCTTTATAGTTAAGTCTTGAACAAAGATAGTGTAGTCTTCTAACTTTATTCTTTGCCAACATTGTTTTCATTTTCTAGGTCTCTGCATTTTCAATGTATATAAAATTTTTTATTTTAAGAGACAAACTCTTGCTCTGTATCCCAGGCTGGAGTGCAGTGGTGCAAATGTATCTTGCTGAAGCCTAGACCTCCTGGGCTCAAAGAATCCTCTCACCTCGGCCTCCTAAGTAGCTGGGAAGATAGCATGTGTCACCAGGCCTGGCTAACTTTAAACAAAAAAAATTTTTTTAAATGTTTTTGTTGGCCAGGCTGGTTTTGAACTCCTGACCTCAAGTGATCCTCCTGCCCTGGCCTCCCAAGGTTCTGTGATTATAGGTGTAAGCCATCACACCTGGCCTTAAGTTTTTAACTAGTTTGTTACTTTCTACAAAAATGGCTGAGGCATTGATAGATATACAATTTGGGGTGAAGTAACATCTTAATGAATTCATGAAAGTTGCATATATATCTCACCACTTATTCAGGTCTCCTTTAATTTCTTCAGTAATACTTTGTAATTTTAGGTTAGGTAGTTTTGGTTTATTCCTAAATATATTATGATCTCTGAAGTTATTGTAAATGGTATCCATTTTAAATTTCAAATTCCAATTGTTTCTTGCTTGTATGTGTGTATATATATAATTTCTAAACTATATATTGTACATATATAGGATGTAGTGTTTCCATATAGTGTGTGTGTGTATACACTATTTTAGAAACAAAAATATTTTCTATTTGCCTACATATTTACAATGTCTGTCAGTCTATATTACTTTGTGCAGATCCAAATTTCTATTTAATACTATTTTCCTTTTGCCTGAAAAATCTCCAAATTTTCTTGTAGTGTAGGTCTGTTGATGTATTCTTCTCACCTTTTTTTGGCTTAAAAAAATCTGTTTTCCCCCTACACTTTGGAAACATATTTTCACTGCATATAGAATTCTGAATGGACCTTTTTTTTTTTTTTTTTTAACCTGTCAATACTTTAGAAGTATCTATGATCTCAATTTTAGAGATGTCTTCTAGTTTGCACAGCTTACAGCATGAAGTCTGGTGCCATTCTACTTTTTGTTCCCTTTTTTTTTTTTTGAGATGGTGTTTCGCTCTTGTTGCCCAGGCCGGAGTGCAGTGGCACGATCTCGGCTCACCACAACCTCTGACTCCTGGATTCAAATTGATTCTCCTGCCTCAGCCTTCTGAATAGCTGGGATTACAGGCATGTGCCACAATGCCAGGCTAATTTTGTATTTTTAGCAGAGATGCAGTTTCTCCATGTTGGTCAGACTTTCTGTTCCTTTCTATGTGATGTGTCTTTTGTGAGGCCACTTTTAAAAATTTTCCCTTCCTCATTGACTTTCAGCAATCTGATGATGTGGTTTTGTATGCTTTTATGTTTCTTCTGCTTGAATTTAAGTTTTTTTTCATTTATGGATTGAGAGTTTGCATCAAGTATGGAAAATTTTCAGACATTGTATCTTCAAACATTTGCTCAGCCCCTGCCTTAGTGATACTCCAATAATATGTGTATTAGACTCCTTGATACTGTTCCATAGGTCTCTGATGCTCTGTTCATTGTTTTTTCGGTCTTTTTCCTCTCCATGCTTTAGGCTGAACATTTTCTATACCTATTTCACTGATATATTGGCAATAGCTCTTCTATGTCATCTGCTAAGTCCAAATTATTTCTAGGTAGATCACTTCATTCTTCTCCTTGTTAATGGGTCATTTTTTTTTTTACTATGTTGCATGCCTGGGAATTTCTCATTAGATATCAGACACTGTAAAATTTATGCTGTTGGGTAATGGATGTTGTTCCATTCCTTCAAAAGAGTGTTAGACTTTGTTCTGGCATGCAATTAAATTACTTAGGATTACCCTGATTCCTTTGAAGCTTGATTTTGGCTTTTCTGTGTATAGATTCTTTGTAATCTCTGGGACTAATTGAGCCCCACTAAAGCAATCCCCATCTGTGGAACCTACCTGTTACTTCTGATTACAAATTTTCTTCATTTTAGCCAAGGGGAAAGCAAAATGTTCCCAATCCTCCTAGCCAGAGGGAAAAGAAGATGTATGACTTCTAGGAATCAATCACTTGGCCTTCTTTCCAATAGTTCTTTCCCCAGTCTCTCGTAGTTTCATCTTTTGCATGCAGATCTGTATTCAGCCAATATTTCAAGGACCCTTTGCAGATCTTCAGAGCTCTATCTAAATTTTTTTCTCTTCACTGTTCCACCTCATAACTTCTAGCCAACTCAGACTCTCCAATCTCTGACCTAAACTCAGCAAGACCACAAGGCTCTGTTTGGAATCCCTCCTCCATCCCTGCTGCTCTTGACCTGGAAAATGCGTCCAGGCAGTAAGCTGGGACAATGGTAGAGTTCATTTCATTCGTTTTACCAGTCATGATCCTGAACTCCTGGTTGAACAGTATCTGAAAACAATTTTTTTTTTTAGCCCGATTCGCCTTGTTTACAGCAAAATGTCAGTTCCTGTAGCTGTTGACTGCACGGGGAGAGGCAAGAATCATGTTCATTTTTCAGTTCATGCTCAACAGTTTTCCATGCAGATTTAAAAAAACACAAATTCAACAACTTTTTAAATAACACATTTCTCAGTGGGACTCTAACATTTGCCATTATTTCTAACTAAGAAACACAAATATTTAAATCTAAATTTTATTAAGAATATTTGATTTGGGCCAGGCGCGGTGGCTCAGCCTGTAATCCCAGCACTTTGGGAGGTGGAGGTGGGAGGATCACCTGAGGTCAGGAGGTCCAGACCAGCCTGACCAACATGGAGAAACCTCGTCTCTACTAAAAAATACAGAATTAGTTGGGCGTGGTGGCACAGGCCTTTAATCCCAGCTACTTGGGAGGCTGAGGCAGGAGAATCGCTTAAACCTGGGAGGCAGAAGTTGTGGTGAGCCGAGATCGTGACATTGCACTCTAGCCTGGGCAACTAGAGAAAAACTCCATCTCAAAAAAAAAAAAAGAATATTTGATTTTTGGCTGGGCGCCATGGCTCACGCCTGTAATCCCAGCACTTTGTGGGGTTGAGGTGGTTGGATCACCTGAGGTCAGGAGTTCGAGACCTGCCTGGACAACATGGCAAAACCCCGTCTCTGCTAAAAATACAAAAAATTACCAGGCGTGGTGGGAGCTCTACTCAGGAGGCTGAGGCAGGAGAATTGCTTGAACCCGTGAGGCACAGGTTGCAGTGAGCCAAGATTACACCACTGCACTCCAGCCTGGGTGACAGAGAGAGAATCCATCTCAAAAAAGAAAAAAAAAAAAAGAATATTTGATTTTCTATCCACTTTTACCCTCTAAATTGTCAAATTTCTTTTATATATATTTTTGTCTTCAAGTAATAGTCATAAATTGGATGAAAGACTGATAGCTGTATTTTTCGTTGCTAATCTGTAAGAAAATTTTAAGTAATTCTTCTCAGATGTTCATTATATGACAGTCAAAATACTTTATCAATCTCAAAATCCTTCACTTAATTTTTCTTTGGTTGAAGCTACAGTACTTCCAATTAATGCTATTTGAGAGTGTAAGAAACTGAGCAAAAAGTCTTTAAAAAGGAAGAATTTTTGGCAGTCTCACTATATTTACGAGGTAAATAATAATATTTGGGACCCACCAAGGTGAAGGAGCCCTGGCAAACAGTCCAAACTTTCAGATGGGATCCATGGTAGGCTATGTCTTAGAGACCAGAATGAACTAGAGGCAGAAGGAGCCTTACCAAGATTACTAAAAGGCTTGTGATACCATTCCCCGAGTAGATTAGGTGATCAAACCCCTACTCTATTTGGTAAACAGAGGATTA